TGCTTAGACCAAAAGAAGACATGAATCGATGAAGTTGAGACTTACTTAATCCATATGGCATCCCGTAAATTTGTTTTGATCCCCTTTCTAAGTTGCAAAACCTATATAAAATTCTTATTATTTCTTTAATTTTGTGGTTAACCATTTTATTGATCTACGCAACAGGTAGAATTCACAAATCATAAAGTATTTTAACATCATAATTGGCTAGATAAAGAGTAAATGAAACTCTATGGTTAACACAACAAAAAAAAAGCCCCGATTCCTCAGGCGACCAATATAGAAAAAGAAATCATCCTAAGTGACCATAAAAACAAATATCATGGATCATAGAGGCGCAAAAAAAAAAATTTAACTATGCATGTTGGAAATAATGCAAGGAAAATATTCCATTAAAATCATCATTGTAGGGAAAACTAGAATGTAAAAAAGTTGCAAAATAATTTGTTCCCTCTTCCACAACAACCAACTCCTCTCTCATACAATAAACCTCTCAGAATAAGTGAGACAATACAGAGGAAAAAGATAGGAAACACCCTTAGCACCTCAACCCCAAAAGAGGAAAGAATCCTAAAGTAGAACTCTTTAAAACCCTCTCTTTTTTCCCTTCAGCCATCTCCAAGACTCCCTTCTCTCAAAAGATGTCCTAAGGAACCTTTTTATAGTTTAACACATGAATTTGGTATGAATATTTCTTGCCAAAACAAATTCTCACTCGGTTGGTGTGGTCATGCCAAAATATGACATGGTCATGCCAACCTTTTAAATCGGGTGATCATGAGCATGCCTGATCTCGGTGTGGTCACGTTGCCTTCGCAAATATGGAGTAATCACACAAAATTATGGTGTGGTTAAATTCTCACTCTGTTGGTGTGGTCATGCCAACCTTTTAAATCGGGTGATCATGATCATGCCTGATCTCGGTGTGGTCACGTTGCCTTCACAAATATGGAGTAATCACACAAAATTATGGTGTGGTTACACTGCTGGTGACTATAGCTTGGTGTGGTCAAGCCTCTTCTAAGCATGGTCACACCGCTTTAGGTCTCTCTTACATTAGTTTTTTTAATTATACAATGCACGTACTCAATACATGTAATCTGCACAACATCAAACAAACCTTTCAAGTGTAAATCCTTGGTAAATCAGTAAAAATAACTAGTAAAATGCAGGGTAAAAAGTAGGTGAAATCATGCAAAATTGACTTATGTCAACAGATGAAATCTTTTGTAAGCTTCAAATAGAATAGCAAACAAACATTAGAAATTGAGCTTAAGGATAAAGCTCAATGGAGAATACCAACTTAACATAGAAACCTAAAAAGATACATTATTTTAAAAATAGAAACCTTGATTCTCATGTTGACCGACAAAATAAGAGTTGAACCACATCATGAAATAAAGTTAAACCGCAAAAACAAATCGAAATTCACTAACATAAAAAACAAAAACCACCATTAGGTAGATCAATTGTGAATCCTAGGTTCGCTAACTTAAAAATGAAACATAAGATTCACACATTTTATAGAATATTTCAATCTAGAAGCCTATGTTAGACTACTAGGTAACACTAGTTAGTATTAAAGGCTAAGCTCTATAAACAACAAATATGTAACCTACTTAGGCTATGTTGGTGCCCTAGGATAAAGTAACCCATATTAACTGACAAAAGGCATCACAAGCCACCTAATAGTAAGGAGCTCTACTCTTGGCATTAATATGGTATTAAGTGAAAACCTTTAACTATCTGGTTGCATAATATTCTAAGGATTCTAATGAACTCAAAAAGATAGAAAGCCAAAAGCATCTTGACTGGGGGATTTATACCCAAAAAATTTACTTTAAGGTTAGAGTTTCAACGCCCATTTAAAAATCCTTTCAACCAATCCTGTCCCATTAGCCTAGGATACAAGTCCACAAAATCAACATTTTTAAATCAAACCAATAAAATTAAACCTCTCAACTAAGTTTTTAGCTCAAATATGAATCCCTGAATCAAACATTTCCAAACTAACATTTTCAAAACTTAAAAACCTAAACTTTTTAAACTTCAAATATTCAAATCTAACATTTTGAACTTGAAAACCATTTCAAAAACTTCAAAACCAATTTAAAAACTTTAAAACATTAAACATTTCAAACTTAAAAAAACAACCTTTTCAAAACTTTAAAACCCTAAACATTCTAAACTTCAAATTCAAAAAATCAACCTTTTTCAAAACCTCAAAACTAACCCTTTCAAACTTTTCAAACTAAACTTTTTAATACTTTAAAATCATTTAAGAACTTCAAAACCTTAAAATTTCCAAAATTCAAACTTCTAAAACTAACCTTTTCAAAATTTCAAAACAAAAAAAAATTCAACCTTCAAACATTTTGAAAACCAAACTTTTCAAAACCTTAAAACCATTTGAAACTTACAAATCTTAAACTTTTCAAACTTCAAACCTTTCAAATCAAACATGTCAAACTTTAAATCCTTTTAAGAACTTCAAAACGTTAAACATTGCAAACTTCAAACTTTTCCACTCAAACACTCTGAACTTCAAAATTTTCAAACTTCAAAAATTCAAACCATTTCAAATTTTTTAGCATTAAAGCTTTAAACCCTTTCAAACCCTTAGACATATTCAATTATGAAAACTTCAAAACTTCAAACAATCTTGAAGCAACTTTCAAACAACATTGAAACCATTAAATAACCTTCAAACAAAATTTTTCAACCTTCAAGTAACCTTCAAATAAACTATTTCAACATTCAAATAACCTTATAATTACCTTCAAATTACCTTTAAATCATCCTTCAGACAACCTTAAGATAACCTTCAATCATTCTTCAAATCAAACCTTCAACACAAATCAAATAACTCAAGTCAAACCTTAATTAAGCCAAATCAATTCAAATTAAGTATGTTAAACTGAATCAATCAAATCCAACTTCTTAAATCAAAACCTAACTCTTTCAATAATATTGTAATTCTAACCCCCATAGTACACCTTCTTCTCCGAGTTTGCTAACCTTTTCATGGAACTATTCAACCATTGAATTCTAAAAAAAAATTTAAAGCTTGAAACTCCATCATTTAAAAACCTCTTCATATCTTGAATCTTTTAATTGAAAAGCTTCAATATTGAAACTTGCATAATATAAGCCAATAATTTAATTGAGTTTTCTTAGGAGTTGATATCTCCTATGACGTAATTAATTATGAGGGCTTGCCCATGTAGGATACCAGACTCTAAAATAAAATAAGGTATATCTTGCACCTATAAGATAAAGAAAAAGTCTTTATTTAGTAAGGCTAATAAATCAAAAAATTTTCTTATACAAATGATTAAAGTCAATTTAAGGAAATATTTCTACCTCTTGGGATAATATATTATTCTTAAAATAACACATCTAATCATTTAGATATAAATCTTTCAAGGTCAGTGATGGACACTCAACAAAACATGAGAGAATTCTTTTCCACCAATATCTTGATTTATATAAAAAATAATTTTTTAACTTCATGTTAAAAAAGATTAAACTAATTGGTTTAAAATGTAGAACATGTAAATATGATATTATTTAAGTATTTATGATGTAGAGCACTTAAAATAGAAATCTAAATTTTTTCCTCAGAATTTTCTTTAATAGAAAAAGAAGAAAATGAGAGTATATGTTAGAGTTGTAAAATTTTTAACATCTCTTAATGAAGAAAATGAGGGCTATTTATAAGCAAGATGAAAATTTAAGTAATTTAAAGGAAATAAAATGATCTAATATTATTTTGCTAAATAATAATATACAATTTAATAAATTATTACTTTATATTGAATAAATATTAGATCTAAATGCCTAGAAAATGACTAGTCAAATAAGAAAGTAAAAAAAGACTCTAGTACTAAAACAAAATACAAAAATGGCTAACTAAATCAAATTCACAAAATTAAATAATATTTAAATAGCATATTTAATTTAATTCATATCAAAAGTACTTCATGTAACATATCAAATCAACAACGACAACAACAAGAGCTTTTGTCCCACTAAGTGGGGTCGGCACATGAATCCTTTTTCTCCATTGTGTCATATTTTTATTTAAGTATAATATATTAAGATCATTTCTTATACAACATACCAAAGAGTTTTTAGGTCTACCTCTGCCTTTCTTAATATCAGTCAAATCTAAAAAATCCATTGCCCTAATATAATCATCAGATGGTCGACGTTTAATTTAACCAAACCACCCAAGATGACTCTCTTTAATCTTATCCGTCACTGGAGCTATACCAACCATATCTGCATATATTCATTTCGCATTTTGTCTCTAAGTATCAAGCCACTCATCCTCCTAATATTCTCATCTCAACAACAATTAACTTTGTTTCATGCTTCTCTTTTAAAGGCCAACATTCTGCACAATAGAGTATTGCAGGCTTCACCACTATCTTATAAAATTTTCCTTTAAGTCTACTAAAGTGTATCAATACCCCTGTTAATTGCATAATCAAATATTATGTATAACATGTGAAAAATATTAATAAGATCATTTAATTGGACTCATTCTTGTAGTTTTTTTCCTTTTTGAAATTTCATATAAAAATTCTAGTGTCTTCTATAAAATTATTATTTTACTCATGTGTGTTGAACTTTTATACAAACTAATAATATTAAGATGTCACACTACCATTATAAATATCCTAACATCAACATAGGTGATATGTAAATAAATATAATAATTTAGCTTTTAAATTATGATAAATTTATAAGAATTTTGTAGGATTTAAAATTTTATATTACTGACATGCAATTACGTGAGTTTGATTTATAGATAAATTCATAAAAAAATAAATAACTTTTTATGAAATATATGAAAAAAATAAAATATTGAGATCTATAATTTTAAAAAATAATTTCCATAAAATTACTATATAAAAATTGATGCCTAATAGTTTTGCTAGAAAATAGCAATTTTTTAAGAACAATTTAACAAAAAATGAATAAAATATCCCCACTCAACTTTCTTCCTTCCAAAATTTTATCAATCATGGAAGAGCCCTTCCAATCTCAATTGCCGGCGGCTCGACAGACACAACATACCGCAGCAACCTCTTCCTCAACAAAAGACTGATGTCCAAAAGATTGTGCTGAGCTTCGAACGAGAAGTTCAGGGCCCTCCTTCGTATCATTTTCTCTCCTTTCATTCCTACAGCTCAAATCTCTTTGCTCCTAGAGCTTGGAGCGCATTCCACCCTTTTGGCGAAATTTATGGATAGTCTCCCGCCCGATGACGCTGGAACTACTGATCAGACGCCAGCATTTGAAGACGACAGGGTGTATCTTGTGCCCTACAGGTGCGCTCCTGAATCCTGCGATTTTTCACCTTCGCGATCGGATAGTGCCTGCCGAGAGGTTTTGAAACCCTAAGGAATCCTCTCCGCGCCTTTTCCGACCTTTCTTCGTCTCACGCTGATCTACCTCGTGATTTACTGATCAGGTGGTGGGCGGAGGTGCAGGAGCTGGAATCCGAGCACGGTATCGGCAATGTGGTTCGAGGGATCCCTTACACTGCCTCGCCCGCGCCATCCTCGTATGGTGGGCCGATGCGGATCATCAACAACATCTTCAACTCGGATCTTGTATTTAGTCTCCGGCGAGATGATTGTCTTATGACGGACGATGCGGAGCAAGGGTTTTCCGGACGGAGCTATGCTTTGATTCCGACTGATATGTGGTCGGAGGCGCTCAGCTGGTGAGTAAAGCAAGAGGCCCTTTATTTTGATCTTATCTCTCGGTATCAGAATCTGTTGGGTTTATTTTTATTTTTATTATTATTATTTTTTTTCCACACACAAACGAACACATTGCATATGCAAGGCCTTAAAATAGGACCTTTTGGTTGAAAGACAAAACTCTCAACCACTAGGCCAAGGGGGCTTGCATTTGTGGGCCTTTTTGTTTCTCAGCATTGATTGACTACATGATCTATGCTGCAATTTATCTGGCTGTGATGCCATGCGTGAGAGTTAGTTGCCAGGGAATTCTTTTATCCAACTTAATTACAACGTAAACTTCAGC